GTCAGACAACTCTCAGCGGCCTGATAGCCAGGATTCTCATTCACCTGCATCTCAGACCGTGACAGTAGAGAGGTGGGACTATGTCTAGAGAACAACTGTTGATACAACGTAGCTCTGCAGCCGAAAGATGCCGGCATTATCGACAGAAAATGTCTGCAGAGCAGCGTGCGTCTGATCTTGAAAGAAGGCGGTGCCTGCGACAGGATGTATCTGAACACTAGCTACTGGAAAAACGTCGCTCTGATGCCGAAAAACACCGGTATTATTGACAGAAAATGTCTAAAGACCAACGTGCCTTTGAAGTTGAAAGAAGGCGGTGGTGACAACAGAATATGTCTAGAGAACAGTCATCAACAAGTACTACCAATACTGGTAGGAACTGCCTTCTCAGCGAAAATGGAGTGCATGAGGATGCAATTCTCAAGGATAGTTGTGGTGGACTGACTGCTCAATGTGAATTTTGCCTATCACTCAATTTCTTGGATGAAAAACTGTCTGATGGGAAATTTACTCGATGTTGTAGCAAAGGGAAAGTCTGTTCAAATGACATACATTTTCCAGATTACCTGGCATATTTTAAAGATTAATGACAAACGAAGATTCTGACAGTAAAAATTTCATGGAAAATATTCGTTTCATAAATAGTTCTTTTGCTTTTGCTTACATGGGTACAAATATTGCATTGCCATCAGGATATGGGCCATACTGTTTTCGAATACTCAGACAAGTTTATCACCATACTAGAACTTTATATCCTTCGGATGGTGTTTCTCGGAAGTTTGCTCAACTCTATATTTTGGATACAGCCGAAGCTACAAGTAAAAGATCAGCAATTCCAGAAAACCGGGGTCGCTCAGAAAGACTCATGATCAACATCAACAACCTCATGCATGACATAAATGAATTAACAAAATTGTACAAGAAGCTACATGAGGTAGAAAAAGAAGCCCAATCTGAAGCAGCAGCAAAAGTTATTGCTCCCACAGAAGTAACAGTGGCAATTAAATACAATTGTAACAGTGACCCAGGTAGATATAATTCTCCCCATGTAACCGAGGTTGCTGTCGTATTCAGAAACGATAATAGAGAGCCTCCTTTTGAAAGGGACTTGCTCATTCATGGTAAACCAGATCCCAATAATCCAAATGCCACTAAAATGAAACAAACCAATATCCTGTTTCCTACATTAGATGCAATCACATATCCTGTTCTTTTCCCACATGGTGAAAAAGGCTGGGGAACAGATATTGCATTAAGACTCAGAGACAACAGTGTAGTTGACAATAATACTAGACACAATGTAAGGACAAGAGTCACACAAATGCAGTATTATGGATTTCATCTCTCTGTGTGGGACACGTTCAATCCTATTTTAAATGCAGGAAAATTAACTCAACAGTTTATCGTGCTTTTAAATGATATCTGTAAATTCCATTTATTTGGCAAAGTAATAGCTAAAATTCATGTCACTGAATTTCAGAAACGCGGACTGCCTCATGCTCACATACTATTGATATTAGATAGTGAGTCAAAATTATATTCCTCTAATTAATTCACTTTCAATGTGCACAAATTTCATGCACCAGGCTACTAGCTTTCAATAAGAAGGGCAGAGAATGCCTAGAGAATGCCGTTTGCCAGCCATAACCAGCATGGAACCACCACTGTGCCTCAGCAGTGAGTGGCGCAGTACCTCCCAGCAGGCTCCCAGACGTCTGTAGGGAGCATGTGCTGTCAGAGTGAATTCCCGCACCAGGCCTCCTCACCAGCCTGCTGGGGCCCAGCATCCTAGAATCCAGCTCCAAGACCCCGCAGTGAGTGCAAGCCAGGGGGAACCTTGTGCCTTACCCCTGCCCTGGACCCCAGACTGATGCTGCTAGCCTGACCTGGATCCACCTGGTGCCCTCTCCACACTGAACTCCTGCAACCCAGGCCCGCTACACCCTGGCCCCAGGGACAGTCCTGCCAGGGCCATCCAGAGAAACCCAACACACACTTCACTCCAGGCTACAAGAAAGCAAGGACTCTGTGACCCAGAGCAACCTATGCCCACTTCACCCTGAGTCCAGGGTCTTGCTGCCGGGGAAACCTGGAGTAATCCAGCACATGACCCACTCAGGCCACAGGGGAGCTCTGACTGTGCAACCCAGAGCAACACGCTCCCACTTATCCCCGGCCCCTAGAACAGTCCTGCAGGGGCTACCTAGAGCAACCTGGTATGCCCAGCCAGGGGCCAAAGGACCTGTGCTGCAAGTGCACTGCTAGAGAGATCTAGGGTGCCACCCTGCCACAGGTGCCAGGGCCGCACAGTGAACTGCATGCCAAAGGGCTCTGGGTCCTCACAGGGAGTACCAAACCAGAGGAACTGTGCACATGCTCACACCACCCCGAGCATCTGAAGCAGACAACTGAGGGACTAGATCCGTGGGAGAAGAGGATACAACTCAGAGCAGAGACAATAAAGGTGTGAGACACAGAGAAGACCCATCCTCTGGGCTAACGATTTTCAGACCATTGCCCCAGTTGGGTCTTCAACCAAGCAGAGTACCCAGGGCCAGAAAGAGACAGCAAAACTGGGGAGACAAGGCAACGACCCCCCAAGGAAAGAAAAGGAGGCATTGCCAGAAAAGGCGCTAAATGAAACAGAGGCATGCGATATGTCAGGAAAAGAATTAAGAGTAAGGGTCATACAGTTCATAACCAGATGGACGAGAAAATCACCAACTTATGTAAGTATCAAGAGGAAATCAAGGATTACATAGCTACAATAAAAAACAATATGGAAGGTTTCAACAGTATACTAGAAGCAGCGGAGGACCAAATTAGTGAGTTAGAATATAAAACAGAGAAACACACCCAGACAGAACAGCTATTGGAGAAAAAAATGAGAAAGCAGGAGGAGAGCCTAAGAGAACTTTGGGACAACATGAAATGAAGTAACATACGTACAATAGGGGTACCAGAAGGACAAGAAGAGGAGCAAAGATTAGAAGGCCTTGAAGACCTTGAAGACTTGAAGAAATAATGACAGAAAATTTCCCTGATTTGGAGAAGAAAAAGTGACACAAGTACAGAGAATCCCAAACAAAATGAACCCCAAAAGACACAAAACAAGACACACTGTAATTACAATGGCAAACGTTAATGACAAATAGAGAATCTTAAAGGCTGCAAGAGAGAGAGAGAAAGTTACCTACAAGGGATCTCCCATTATATTATCACATGATTTCTCAACAGAAACATATCAGGCCAGAAGGGAATGGAAGGAAGTATACAAAGTGATGCAAAGCAAGGGACTGAATCCAAGAATACTCTATTCAGCAAGACTATAATTCAGAATTGAAGGGGAACTCAGGAGCTTCACAGACTAAAAAAGGCTAAGGGAGTTTAACATTACCAAGCCAGCAATATAAGAAATGCTAAAGGGACTATTGTAAAAAGAAGAAATAGAAAGGGAAGAAGGGACATGGGCATAAAAATAAAAATGGCTATCAAACAAGTAGCTATCAAAATAAACCTTACATGTAAACGGACAAACTGCTCCAATCAAAAGACATCAAGTGACTGAATGAATAAGAAAACATGACCCATATATATGCTGTCTCTCTCACATTGGTATTCTTTGTTCTCTCTGTCCCACTTCCTTCCACTCTTTCTAAAAATCAAATGAAAAAATATCCTCAGGTAAGGATCAACAACAAAAAATAAAAAATTGAGCTATCAGCTGTTAAAGTGTATATACATTTTTAAGGACACCCTGTATAATTTAAGAATCTTGATTGACAGGAAACTGTGATAAAACAAATACTATCATTGAAATCTCATTTATTTGATCAGATCATGGATTGTCATTACCACCTCTTACTACCAGTAAGGAGAAGAGAGCCAATTTTCCTTTGATCCATCTCTGAGAGCAGCTTAAATCTGGAGTTTAACATAATGAAAAGGATGGAGACAAACTGAAGCATACATGGCCCACCTAAGGGGGCAGCCATAACTCAGCTCTAGCTGACTGCTCAACGGGGACTGTCAGGAACTCACTAGCAGATGCAATGTGACTCCAGCAGTTGGACTCTCTGTGTTTAACCTTCTGTGACTGTTTACTAGTAACTCTCTGTAGCCTAAGTCAGCTGACTACCCAGAAAACCAGAATTCTGCCCAAAGGTAAATGTCATGTTCCCAGGAAGGAGGTTAATGAATGTGTAGCGTAGATAACCACCTGATATTGTGTTAACTTAGAAATGCATTGTTTTTTCTGAAGGTCTATGTAACGACCTATGGTTTTACCATTAACCCCCTCCAAAAAGGAGTTCCTATCCTGGGACATATGATCTTTTCCAGGCCGGTCACTGGGAGCAGCTGCTTTGCCCGTGTATGTTAGTTTCTCCTATTAAAACTCTTATGAATTTGAACAAGGCTACATATGAGTTCTTTGGAATTATTCTAAATTTAGATTTTGGGGGCTTTCCCCCAAGGACAGGTAAAGCAGCTATTATCAGACCTCATTTATAACTTTCAGTTTTTTGTAAAGCAATGTACAAGCCTACATGTGGCACACAGACTTGATCAGTTTATTAAATGTACCTGCTTGTTTGCTCTAGTATACTTCCAAGTTGACTCTGACATGCAGGATTGTGCCATTAAGTGTCTCTCAAATGATATTCTATTTGTAGCTGACATTCTCTGCAAGCAAAGGAGGAAAGACTATGTGTTTCAGGTCACTTTGTATGACTCCTGCAGAGCAGTGAACATAATTATGCATGTAAAAAATGTTCTTACCAGAGTCATCTACATCAGAATAAAAGGTATCAAATCATTTAGTTTGGCTTAAATATTTTATGAACTAGAAATATACAGACTTCACCCTTATCTCAGAGTTCTATATACATATAATTTCTACATATATCTCGGATTTCTATATACATATATATAATTTTAAGGAGTTCTAATTGGCCAGAAACATGAAAAAAGCAAACATTAAAGTTTTACCCTCCACCCACCTCCACACATCCAGGCAGTGAATGGCCATTCAAGTCTGAACTGAGAACTGAATCCCTAAAATAATCAAAGACAAATCTATTCCTGCATCTACAAATCAGGCTGATGACACATGAAAATTATTTTCTTTAATTAAGTTTTTATATATTTTTATTGATTTCAGGGAGGAAGGGAGAGGGAGAGATAAACATCAATGAGAGAGAATCATTGATCAGCTGCCTCCTGCACGCCCCCTACTGGGGATCGAGCCCGCAACCTGAATATGTGCCCTTGACTAGAATCGAACTAAGATCTATCCACTGAGCTAAACCCATCTAGGGTGACACATGAAAACTCTTTAATATGCCAATGAAAAAACCAAGAGTGAAAACATTCTTTCTAAATAGATAGGGACTCAATAAAAAAATGAAGGCGATATCTGGAGGGTGACTGGTACATGGTGGTCTTAACTGTCTCTAAATAAAACCCAAATCAAATGGCCTCATGTGGTTTTGGGGTCTCTGATCTACACATGATTATTTGCTACCACATTGAGATTATTGAACCACATGCTAGTATATTAGACCAAAATGGGAATTTAATAAATGAATTCCTCCTTAACGACAAAGAAAATACAGATAACTAACTCCAAAATACCCAAGCTAATATGGAGACAGGAGAGAATAAAACATGAGATATAATCAGAAAATTGCTTATATTAAAAAGTATCTTTAATGTTAGCAAATATGAAAGTTGGCAACTTACTGAAAATTCCCAAGAAATTAAAATATAATTTTAAAAAATCACCTGAATAAAGATCTCTCTATTCACCCTCCCTATCCTGTTTCCATCTCCACAGTATAAGTGAATTATAATAAACCTGCCCCCAACTTTGGCTTTTGCTATTATTCTCATATGCAGCCAGAGACATTGAAATAATAACTTGCTAATTTCCTCCTCTAGGATAAAAGAAAGTGGCTTATAAATTCCCATTGATGAATACAATTTGAGAAAATACAGTATTTAACTATATTAACAAGATTAGTAAGATAACAGGGCTACTAAGACCTGGACACAAAATCTGCTTCTCAAAACTTGGTACTGATGAAATCAATGTTTATTACAGTTTATACATATATGAGAGGCTAAAAAATCTCCAAAAAGAATATAAACTGGTACACTATCCCTAAGTTAAGTGAATCCATGGAATTCCATGCCTATATCTCTGTTAAGCACAACAAATAGGAGGATTAGATTTCCACTAAAGGTAATTCAGAAGTGGGAGTAACTATGACATACACATGGTGAAATATTTTTTTAAAAGGTCTTTTATTTCATTTCCCTTAAAAACTGAGTACTTCTTCTATTAGTACCATTTTCTTTCCATCTTTAGGCAAAGTGGCTACCTAATATGCAGAAATTAATACCACAATCTTTATTCCAACAATAACAATAAGACCTAAAAATTAGCTTAAAATTAACTTCCTCCATGATTTACATATGAATGAATAACATGAATAAAGTTATATATTAAAGTTCCTCTACATAAAACCACTCAGTGTTGATATTAATAAACTGTTTTCAACAAATGACTTATTTTATTCAAAAATAAATTCCTTTAAAATGCACTTTTCAGTCTTTACTTTTATGATTTCTTTGCATGTACAAATGTATATTAGGTCCACCATTTAACTACCCTATAATATAAATTATTCCTGCACACATATAGTTACACACACATACAACATAAAATCCACTTAAATTTCTTCTATTCTAACTTTTCTGAATATTATAGTATAAAAATAAAAATACCAAAAGCAAATAAATCATCATGAAAACCTTAACATTTTAAATGCAAATGTTTCATAAAATTAACTTGTACAAACACTGAAAGGATGAATATGCAAAAAGTAAAAACATTTTTTTACTGAGTATTACAGAAGCTTCATTTTTTTTCCTAAAGAAACAACTTCTAGAGATGGGAAGAATTGGGAACTGCATTGTTTACATTAGGATTAACATCCACACTACTCAAACTTCAACAGTTCAGTGGCCAGATAAAAATGTTTATGGCCCATTAAAGATTGAAAGATGGAAATTAAAGTACTAAGGAAAATCCTTTGTAAAGTTATAGCAAATTTAAAAATTTAAAAGTAATTGGATTCTGAAAAATTGAAACCAGTATTTCTTTTGTTAAGCACTTTCTTTAAAATGCTGATTTATTACTCATCCTAAAGAATGTACTACTTAAAACCACCACTAGATGACAACCCTGCTTCACAAATAAAATACTACCATACTAGGTTTGGAAGCTAAGACTCCAAATTTGTACTTTGCTTTAAGTTTCTGACATTTGTGGCTTTGTTGTTGCTGTTGTTGTTGTTTTGGGGGAGTAGAGATAGCAAAGGAAATAAAATAGGCTATTATAGTTTTAGAATTTGTGTTCGCTATGAAGATCACACAGGATTTTTAAAAACTCATTTAATAAGCATTCAAGAGATATCTATCTCCTCACAAGAAAAACAAATTGAAGTATATCAATAAGATAATTTTTCTCTCTTATTCTCTCCCACATTTACCCTTTGGAAACAGAGACTTATAAAAGTACACATAATTTATTAGAGATTAATTTTTTTTGCAGTGAAATAGCTACAAAGAGTATTTTCAACATTATTTCAATAGCTGCTTTCCTCTGACATCAAAATAAATAAGCATGATAATTCTTAGATAATAACTGTAAGAAGATAGGTGACAATAAATCACAACTATTTTTTATGACTCACTTTCAGATATTAAAGTATTTCCCCCATACATATACCAACTCAAGAAGACAGTGTCACTAGAATGTTTATTTGGCATAAAAAACTTATAATAGCTGAGCAAATAAACATTTGTAAACCCCTTGAAACTCCATAATTGAGATATTACAAAGTATTGTGGCAATAGGCACCTATCTATGTTATTATTCATTTTTCCAAACCATACTTTCACATAAATTTACAAGTATAAAATGAAAGCCTGGATATTTTTACTTTCATTTAGGGTTATAATTTATGTCCTTCCTTTAATTCAACATTTTCATACTTTAATTCAGAAGCAGAGCTAAGGTTATTTTTTAACTCATTTTAACATGTAAGATTATATATTTGTCATATTTTCTCAGCACAGAGGTGATAACTATAAAAGCATATGTCAGGTGGAAAGGTCACTTCAGATCCGATGCCCTGTGCAGTGACCACGGCAATACATCAGTACCTGCAGAGTCCATGCCAAAGACCTGTCAGGGTTCACCCCAGGCGACTGCATACTCAGTTAAAAGTTTACTTAAGAAACGCTATTTAAAAATGCATGATATCGTAACAAAATTTAGAAGGCATTTTTATAAATAACTTGGAGAGACTGTCATCTAATCTGTTTAGAACTAGATACAAATCTCAGCCTCACCCTTGAATATATGTGGGATCCTAGGCAACTTATCTTCCTGTGCCTCAGTTTCCTCATCTAAAGAAGATGGAGCCATTACTGGAAATACTGACCGGTAGAGTTGTTCTTAAGAATAAATGAGACAGCATGAAATACTTAGCACATGTTTGCTAAAAAGTAGATGCCAAATAAATATTGGTTTTCTTCCTTCTTTTTTTTAAAATATATTTTATTGATTTTTTTACAGAGAGGAAGAGAGAGGGATAGAGAGTTAGAAACATCGATGAGAGAGAAACGTCGATCAGCTGCCTCCTGCACACTCCCCACCGGGGATGTGCCCTCAACCAAGGTACATGCCCTTGACTGGAATCGAACCTGGGACCCTTCAGTCCGAAGGCTGACGCTCTATCCACTGAGCCAAACCAGTCAGGGCTTCTTCCTTCTTAAACACTGTAACCTTGGTGCTTATTCTAGAAAATATTTTCAAAACATAATGATACTCAAAAGATGTCTTCTGGGTTTTTAGAAGAAAGCAAAAGAATGAAATTTGCCTGACAATAAAGGGTATTTCCTGCCCTAGCCGGTTTGGCTCGGTGGATAGAGCCTTGGCTGGTAGACTGAAGGGTCCTGGATTCAACTCCAGTTAAGGGCATGTACCTCAGTTGCAAACTTGATCCCCAGCCCTGGGCACATGCAGGAAGCAAAAATCGATGTGTTTGTCTCACATGAATGTTTCTTTCTCTCTGCCTCTCTACCTCCCTTCCATTCTCTCTAAAAATCAATGGAAAAATATCCTTGAGTGAGGATTAACGAATGAATGAAGGGTATTTCCTCAAAGGTTACAATTAATAGTCAAAAGTGTATGTACATATTACAGGAAGACTGAACTACATATTTCTATAATACTAACCACCTAGAGTTCACTGAGATCTGAAGGAGAAAATGTCAACAAGATTTAAAGAATTTTATTATTTAATTTCTTAAAATCTTCCAATTTTACACATATGGATAAATATGCAGTTTTTGGGGGGTATAATAACATAGTTTATAACAATAAAATCAGTTATGCCATGAGAATGTGCAACTATTTCTGCCCCAAACAGAATTTCCAATGCAAAATACATTGCCATCATTTTTGCCTAATCTACCATTTATGTCAATATTTAAAACAATGATGTCAAGAAACAGCTGGGAAGTAATAAGTTTAAAATTCTACAGCACAGAGTATTATAATATCTAATTTTCAAGTTAGACATTTTATAATTTACTTATAATTTAAACTAATACTATTCATTCAAAAATTTAAAAATGAAAATCTACTTCAATTACCATACCCAATTATATCAAATATCTATTTGTCTGTAGTGTATGTACGTAATCATATATTGTACCACCTAATAGCATAACAATTCTTCATAAATTAAAATGAAATGAAAATAAGACCTAAAAATCTAAAATAGTAGTCACTTAAATATGCTATTAAATAAAATAATTCTGCCAAGAGTGAAATAGTATATATATAAATGATATACATATTATTTAGTCAAAAATAAAAATAACTTTAATTTAAAATGCATCTTAAATATAAAATGCTTAACAGTAATTAAATTTTTGGATATTAAAATGCTGCAAAGAAATTTTAAAATTTTAATTTTTT